AAGAAACTTTAAGGGAGTAAGAACCCAACAACACAATGTAAATACTGGACACTATTTACAATGCACAAAGAACATAGCAGACAAAGAAGCATGCAGTGGGTCACTTTTTCTTTGTCTTCTATTAACTGGACTTTGACACTTTCTAATCATGAGGGATTTTGGTGGTGTTCAAAAGAAAAATCACCATTCTGTCCATATTATAGATAGTGCTTCAGCACTGTCTCCACCTTCCAGAACCTTCCACAGCAAAACATCTGGCTAGAAATCTTACCCTGGTGATAGCCCCAAATGCTCTCCTGCTGTTCTCAGTGATAGACTGCTTTGGTCAATAAAGTCATGGAGGAGGCTATAGTATTACTTTTTTTACATATATTTGTAATTAAACATGGCTTAGGGATGGTATAAACACAAACTGTTGCATTTTTAAGACTATTAAGTACACTTCACAGGAAATATCCCTTTCCCCTTAATGTCCACTGTGAAAACTTAACCATTTTGTAAAGGAAGGTCCATGGTTTCACTTATGACCTGAGCCAGGCTTGGTATCATTCACAAGAAAAGGTGTGATTGTATATATTTGAGTATACTGTCGAAGTTGGTAATTTTTTTGCCTATTTAGAAATACAATAATAAAATTTAAAGTGTATTTTTCTTACTAGAAGTATAGGAGTTTTCTATTTCCCCACATACGCATCTCTAGTCCCTCCAAAGGTAAATTACTTGGGTTTCAAGGATGCTTCTCAATAAGCAAATGTACTAAGAAATTGATTTCTTGAGCTTTTACATGAGGATAGTTGACTATACATGGTGAAATTGCCAGTTGAAGGCTGACAATTTCAAGAGAAAATGTAGGGTGTATTACATGTAGCTCATCCCATTACAGGATCAATAAATGCACTTAGTTTGACACACATGTTTAGTTTCATAACTCTAAATGTTACTGATGGCCAAATTGTTATAAAATATCATAAGAATGACAATTTATTTGCAGGAGAACTTTCAACTTTTGAGGACCTTTCATTTATACCAGCTCCTTTCATTTATACCAGCTCCTGCAGCTTAGTAGGTAGGGAGTTGTGCTACCAATCAAAAAGGCAGGAGGTTCAAATTCACCAGCTGCTCCAAGGGAGAAAGATGGTGATTTACAGCTTCTAAAAATTGGCTGGACGTCAGTGGCTGGACGTCAGCTATGACCCAGCCAGATGGATAGCTCTGGCTCGACAGTATGAACAATACCACCTCATTTCATACTATCAGCAACTCTATGGCATAGTTATGGGAAGCATTTCTCCCTATCATTAGTCAGAAGGGAACCATGTTTCTGTGTCTTAAGACAAGTATTTGGAGGTTCAGTTCCACCAGTGGCTCCAAAGGAGAAAGATGGACAATCTCCTGTATGATTTTTAGCCTCAGAAATCCAGTGGAGGATCAGCTATGAGTTGGCCCTGACTTGACCAAAATGAGAAAGAGAGAAGAGCTTACCAGCTCCCTACTGTTACAGCATCCAGATCCACTTTTGGAAATTGCTGTTCTGTACTGTCAAGTCAGCTGAGCCTCCAGTGGGTTTTCAGCATCTATACATCACACGGGAGGAGAATGCCCATCTTTCTCCCGTGTAGTGGCTGGTGGATTCAAACCCTGTGCTGCCCCTCACCATCTAGCCTGATATAAATCACAAAAGCCTGGGTGCTGGACCACTAATAGAGAGTTTTGAAGTTCAGACATTTGGGTTTTAAGGACATTTCTGGTGGTCTCCATTTTTCCAGGGAATTGTAGCCACCTCTAAAGGAGCTCTGGTGGCATAGTGGGTAGGGAATTGCACTGCCAACCCAAAGATTCCCGCTTCTGACAAACTCAAGCATGGGCAGTTCAAATCCACCTGGTGCTCAAAGGGAGAATGAGGGACAATCTCTTCTCGTGTGAATTGCAGCCTCTGAAAATCCACTGGAGAGTTAACGATGAGCCTGTTCTAACTCAACAGTAATGGAAAAAGGAGAGTCAGCTTTAGGTTTTAAAGTTGTAGTTTCCTCTCACAACCGTAACCTAAGGAATAAGACTGGTGCCACATTTGTACAAAGCTATTTAGAACCTCCAACAATGGCCATCAGTTTCAAGTGTGGTCAGCCTGGCAGAAGATGGCTGAGGCAATGGTGGTTTGGGTGTTCCTTTGTCCTTTTGGAACTTTCATTGATAAAAGGGATTTCTCATGGAAGCCACACAGTCGCACTTCATCACATGGCACAAAGACATCTCCTACTGGCATATCTCCCCTGACTTCATCAGGCTAAATATATTAGCCTTTCAAAGCTAGGCAAGGGACGGCAACTTCACAGAGAGCAACTTTCCAATGCCTATAATTAAGAAACTGGCTTATTCAGTAGCACAAAACAGAAACAAAATTATTTAGTAGTACAAAACAGAAACAAAATCTCAGTATCACAGTTCCAAAAAAAAAAAAAAAATCAATCTTCTTAGGAATATCAGGTTTTTTTCTGATCCAGTTTCTTGTTGACATCTTGCTAAAGGTATCACTGAAACTGTCTCTTCCTATAAATTATATTTTTTTCCAGATAATATTTTTTAAAACTCAAACCACTGACTGAAAGAAAGAGTGCTCCTTCAATCCTAGCACATCCTTCCCTACACCACCATGTAGCAAACAATTACTGTTTGGGGTTTACTGTGTGCCAGATACTGTTGTAAATGGTTTACACACATTTAACTCATTCAACTGCTTTTCTTCCTCAAGCTTCTACTCCAATGAAGTCCTGGAGCTCCTAAGCGCCAACTGTGCATAACTGTTCCCAGCTCCATGAACATCATCATGGCAGTTTGAACTTAGCCAAAGCAGGAGCATTTATACCCTGGAAATTGACAACTGGGATTCTCTCACCAAATGAGTCAACTGTAAACACTTACCAGCCCACCACTCTTAACTAGAGACTGTCTTAACTATTCTGTTACATTACACATATACATGGTAATGATTTCGTGGTCAGAAATTAGTAAATATGCATTATATTTAAATCTAGCAGTAACCTATATTTTTAACTAATGTTATTACTTAAAAGCATATCTTAGCCCTTTATTATAAAAAAAGTAAAGTTATAAAAAAAGTAAAGTTATAAAAAAAATAAGTCTCCAAGCTGTATAGGGGCTTGTCACTATCAAAACTAGCATACTGAAGGGAAAAGAAATAATACAATAAACTCCTGTTTCAAATAGTCATTGCATGATTCTATTTGTAGCAACTTCCACATGTGATTAAAAAAATCAATATAATGCCCTCAAGCACTTCCGAATCACACAACAAAGATTAAATTGGAATTGGCGTAATTTTATGGCACTGTAATATATACTGATTATTTGTAAATTGATGATCAGTAAGAAGTCCTAATAGTAGCACAGTGGTTAAAGTGTTCTACTGCTAACTAAAAGATGAGCAGTTCAAACTCACCAGCAGCCACTCTGAGTGAGAATGATGTGGGAGCTGGCTTCTGTAAACATGCCTGGGGCAATTCTACTCTGTTCTATAGGATTGTTAGGAATTTGAATCAACTTAGTGGCTGTGGGCTTGGGTTTTATTTTGTCCCCCACCTGAATTTATGTGAACTCTTGAGGAATCAGGATGTTAAATTACCCAAATAACCTCATTTTCCTGACCATAAAAGAGTTTATCCCCTAAAAAAAAAAAGAGATTACCCTACCAAATCCACAGGTTGCTGAGCATGAACTATAGGTGGGAACATTAGCATATTATTCTGATTTTCCCTTAAAGGGATCTTCTCTCTGCCTGCAAAGAGTGTCGTTCATAAGGAATGCACTGTACTATATGTTTATAGCCAATGGAAACAGTAACCTACCTGTCTACCTACATATGATTCTATTATATCAAATCTACCCATTTCAAAACTTGGCATAGTTCCTTGAGAATTATTCCCTGAGCAACACTATACAACTGATATTTAAATCAATTCTCTTTCTTGAATAAGAAGATTCACATGCAGGTCCAATTCTGAGGATACTACACCATGTGTGGTGCAACAGAGGAGGAGGATGAGGAAAAGAAGGAAACAGGTGATCTGCTTCATGTCCAAGGGAGAAGAGCTAACATGGGGATGAGCTGCTACATTCAGAGTTCTACCATATGGAAAACACACACTCCTGCTCTCTGATATCTGAGGAAATACCATGTAGACTATTGGAGACCCTGTGGATCCTAACAATCTGATCCCATTATAACTTTTATCACCATAGTCAGGGGCTGGCTGAATGATAGCTAACAAAGATAGTCGTGAGCATATCTTCATAATAATCAAATACAAACTAATTTAATCATTAGTAATGTAATGTAGGAGGAGAGAGGCTGGCAAAAGCAGATGGATAAAGACTGACTCAGATTAGAGTTTCCACTGTACTCAGGGTGCGTGCATATTATTCTTTGAGATTTTTTTCATGAAAGTCTCAAAATTATTTACTACCATCAAAAACTGTTCTGATCTGATTTACTTCCACAGCCCTTATTTTTGTTCAATGACAGTTTGCACTTTCTATATTAAAATTCAGTAAAACAAAGACAGCTCATTAAATAGGCCACAAATGTGTTATGCTACAAAGTATTGAACCTTAGTATCTGTAGGTGCACTATATGTTAGTGACCCAAATATTTCACAAAAAAAGCATGCAAGAGTTGGCTTTCGAGACCTTCCTTCACCTGCCCAGAAAAATGAGAGGAGAGAGAAATACATAATTCTTCGCAAAAGAGTTCCCAAACCAAAAGTGTTAACAGGAAAAAGAAGATGAAAGATTACACATTTAAACATAATCTTCCTAGTTTAGGCAACTCAGAAATCACTTAACATAATTGAATTTCCATACCATTGACACATGATCTGGCCTAGATTAGAATCCCTTTATTGCACACCGAGATCATTACCCCATAGATATTTATGGCCACTAGATGGTGCTGTCGCGCCCTGTTCAAACACGTCGTCACTTACTTGCAGTCTCTGTCCTCCAAATCAAAGTGTGGATTGAAGTTGATCATAATTCTCTGATATGGGTCCGGAGCTTGAATCAGCCAGTCACATTTTTGACTTGGGTGATAAGAATTAGGATAACCAGGAGATGTAAGATACCCAGGGTTTTCAATTTTTATAGTGTCACCACATTTATCTGCAAGAAAAATAACATTTTAGCAGAACTTTCCCTTCTATTCAGTCAGACAGGTTGGTTTTATATATAAATTGGCATACAGCAAACATTCCATAACTTCTTAAAAAGAGAACTCCATGAGTTTTCCACAGGTCCTTAAAGTGACGCTGACAGCAACATCCCACCAAGGACCCATCTTTGATCTCTGAGCATTTGCACAGGAAGGCTGGCCAACAGTGGTCTGAGAGGAGAGACCCCCACCTCAGTCCTACCCCCAAAGTTCCTTCCCAAGAAAATGGTCTTCTTGCATTAAAAACATTAAATCCCCTCAATTGATGTTAACATGGTCCCCAGGGAGCTTCTGCTAGACTTAATTATCCCCAAGAAGTGTAATCGCATTAAGTAACAAGTTCTAAGTGGAAGGTGAGTAAAAGATGCTGTTTGAGCCCTTGTGTGGCTTTTTGATGATAAGCCTGGTCTGTGTCATTGATCAGTGGGGATTGTCTTCCAAGACCTCCATTGGCTTAAAGCCCAAACCTTTTTGTTGTTGTTTTATCTGCCCATAAATCTAAGTGATTCTGAGTTATCTCTGCCCTTGGGATCCAGATCAGCAGAGAACAAAGTATATTTGGTGAAGCAGAAACAATTCTGCTTTACTTTTCTCAGTAAAGTTGCTCAGGCTTGGAGTCCAGATCAAAGCAAAGGGTCAGAAAGAAAAATAAATAACCACCCAACATTAATTCTAATTATCTAAATGTTGGGAGTGGAAAAAAAAATCACCGCAGTGAGATCTGAGTATCACATATGTTAAATCAGGGCCTCACATTTTGGGAAAGGTGTGCAAACTAGTTTGGAGTCTTCATTTCAAAAATTCTAAATGCTGAAGTGCTTCTCTGAGCGCCAAATAGCCCTCATCACTTGGGCTGTTTTATTGTTCGGCATAGACTCTCACTGTCACTTTTTATGATAGATTTCATACTGGAGAGCCTCAGCTTGAAGTGATGCCACATTTATTGATGCTTAATTTTGAGCAATAAAAATTCAGTGCATAAACTATGTAAGAGGAACAGGTATGAAAGCAGGGAAATATATATGCCTATCAATCACAAATTTTCAGTAATGGTATATATAGATTTTAATATTGCATCTAATAGATTCCCTGTGGAAAGAGAATGGCATTCTTTGCTCTCAGCATGAATTTATAAATCTACAGAATTTTATTACAGGAAAACCAGGTCAAATGGAAATGAAAGATGAAGTGCACATCAAAAATGCATAAAGCTACATGCATTACAGAAATCAGTTTCCATAAATTAAAAAGAAGACAATATAAATTAATATTGTGTTGCCTCTCTCCAACCCCCCTCAAGCTAGATGTTTGTGTTTCTTTTTTTTTTAGAGTGGGGAGTAGGGAGCCTTATACTAGTTTTCTCTGCCTAAGCTTCTAAATGCCTCAGATTTGCCAAGAAGAAATGATGTTGCAACTAGAGTTCAGAATTTCAGCTAATGATCATATTGGATTCTGCTCTGTTCTCTATGGAGCCTATTGCATTATTTTAAATGTGCAGAAAACTTGGAAAGTGACCCTGCCTCATTAAGTCTCCTCCAGCTCTGTGCAAACACCATGGCAGTCTGGCATCTGTTAGAGGGGTGAAATAAAACAGTACTGCTAGAGTCACTCGACAGAGTCACTTCAGAAGACATTTAGGTGGACCCGGTACCACACCAGAGCTCTTTAATCTGTGACTTCTAAGAAAGTGACAGTGTAACAAGATAATGTGGACTGCCAGACTCGCTGGCTCTGGTAAATCTCTCTAACAGTTGATTAAGAAAGAGCAATTTCTAATGACTCTGGACCATTAGTCCTAAATAAGGTTAATGAATTAATTTAGCAGACACTGTTACTGGGAGGAGGTGGACATGGCTTTAAGAGAGAGCTGCTGAGTTACAGAGGCATTAAGTGGCTCTGGTCACTCCAGCCATAGCACTGTGGCTGGAACTAGTCAAGCTCATGGACTGACACTCCGGTTTTCAGTATCCCCTGTATTTCTGTTAAGAAAAAGAACTCATGTACATATGCACACATGCACACGATCTGTGGGAGCCCCAACCTTAAAGTCTGAGGGCTTGTTTTATTAGGTTTATCATCCATCCTGAACACCCCTCCTTACTGGCCTAATGTCAGTTGTGGAGGGCAAAAGGGTGGGTTACCCTCACGCCTTCAGTCTAGCCATCTGCCCTCTTTTGATTGGAAGAGAACGTTATTTCATCCCCTGCCAGATTACTCAGTGATGCCACCAACTCGCATCCATTAATAAAACTGTACTCCACATTCACAATTTCCCCTAGTATGCGTTTTACTCCCCATTTTACAGAACACAACTGGATAGCTGTTGGAAGCCTCTACTGCCCAAATCACAAGTCCTCCAGAAAATCTATTCACTTCAATCATAAAGAAGTGGTGTTGGTTTTTTTCCAATTCCTCTAGGTATGAACCTTTCCACGTGCAGCTTCTTATTAAAACAATGCATCATATCAAGTAGAGGACCTTCCTTTTTTCTAATTACTTTGATTAAAGTCTAAGTGCGACGAAAGTAAATATTTAATAATTAGCTAATAATAATTGCCCAAGCCTTACTGCAAACCTAATTCTGTACACCCGCTGTCACTTACTTTCCAGCGGAAGGCTAACATGCCTACAACCAGAACACATTTTCAAACACGTTATTTATGTTACATAGCTCTGTTTATACCTCCAGAACCTTTACTTAGCAGTGAGTGACTTGAAAAACTAAGTGGAAGCTGCAAAGAGGTTAGGGATCTGCAGATAGCTTGGTGCCTTGCACTGTATATATCATTTTCCTTTATCATTCAAACTCCAGACGGATTAGGGACGAGTTACCAAGGCGGGGGGCGGAGGTTCCAGCCACCAACAAACCGCTATCTCGCAGAGGCACCCGTCAGCCCAAGTAAGTTTGGGGGAGCTGCGAGAGAACCAGGAAGTTCTCCGGGTAAACTGTTCATTAACTTTTAACTGCCATCAGATTTTTGAAAGGAAGGCTCATCTAATTGCCTTTGGGAGGAAACATTATGAAGGTAATTGGTGTGCTGATCTGGGAAGGTAAGCAGCTCCTGTCGAGCACTAGAGCTACTGCAGCCTCACAATCAAACAGCCAACTTCAGGAGGGAGCTAGAGGACTTGAAATCCTCTTTCCATGGAATGATTGCTTTGATTTCTTTATTTCTCCACCCGGATAAAAGTTTCCTTGGCCGGGGTGGATGGCTCCTCGAGGCGCATCCCGGTGGCTCTCGTGACTGGGGTGGCTGCGGTCGGAGGCAGAGCCTAGCGGGCTGGACGGCGGCAGCCGGGAGCCCGGGGCGCGAAGCTGTCAGACGCGCCTCCGCCTGTCACTTACCGTTGCGGAAAGCGCTAGCCGGGGCGAGGGCGAGGGCGAGCGCAGCGCAGAAGAGCGGCAGTCCCCTCTCCATTCTCCTTCCTCGGGATCCCCAGGCAGAATAAAATTGTGCAGGGTGCAATAGAGCCACACGGGAAGAGAAAAAACAAAAAACAAAAAAATCCAAAGCGCTCCAACTCCACTCAGAGCTGTAAAATCCTCCAGCCCGTCTTGGAGAAAGGAAAGCAGCGAAGCAATGCTTGGATCCCAAAGAAACGCTTCTCTTTTTGTGTCTCAAGTCGCTTGCATCCTGTCATTTAGCTCCGGTTTCCTCTCCCTTTTCCCACACTTGTTCCTCTTCCAGGAGCCACAGCCCGAGCCATGTCTCAAAAAAAAAAAAAAAAGTGGGGGTTGGGAGGGGGAGGAGTGAGGTAGGGAAACACACGACCAAAGCCAATTTTCAGAAAGGGAAAAAAAAAAAAATCCGGATTGTCTCTGGACCCGTTGGAGCCGAAGAGCTGGCGCCCAGGGGAGGTCTGGGTGTCTGCGGGAAGGAGAGGAGCAAGCAATGAAAAGATGAGCAGGAGACAGGAGTTTCACCAACTGCACCCTCGCCTCCCCCACCTCCTTCCGTCCTCCTCCTCCCCTCCTTGCGCCCTTCCCTCGCTTCCTCCCTCCTCTTTCCTTGCTCCCACTCGCCAGTAATTTTCTGACAGGAGACAGGGAAGAACAAGTTTCCCTCACAGTGCTTTCCGCGTCGGTCTGCCTGTCTCTCTTGGAGACCCCCGCGGGATCTCCACGGGAAGGAAGGAGCTGTGGGTCTGCGCCGAGGACGCGCGCGCGCATGGGCTTGGGGAGAGGGCATTGAGGTCGGTGCGTAGGACTTGCCTACCTCCGGCACCCGGGAGTCAGAGCCAGAGAGGCAGCGGGCAGCGAGGATCCCGCTGCTGAGCGCCCGAGAGGTGGCAGCGGCTTTCCGCAACGAGAAACGCGGCGTCTCGGCTCAGAGCCGGGCGGCGGAGCTAGACGCGGTGTCAGTCCCTTTTCGCTTCCCACCTGGGTAGCCCGGGACCTGTGGCAGCGGGAAGCCAGGCGTTCCCTGGGCACCTCGGGTCAGGGCGAGCGGGCTAAAGGCAGAAAGCCCCTCTGGAGTAGTAGAAGCCCTTAAGCCGGAGGCAGGGCGGCAGTGCAGGTCGGTGCTGCCGTACAACCAAGTCCAGCAGCCCGGGCGTGCGGGGCTGAGCTGCAGCCTTATCGCGTCTCTTGCCCTGGCATCAGGGCGCGCGGCTAAAAGCTTGTGCGGCAGGGTGAAGGGGTGCCTGCCTTGTGCCGCCGGGATCCATTGTTCACTGAAATTTGAAGACCCCTCCTTTAAGGGTAAAGGGGACGCCCTCCGGGTGGGAGATGAAACATTTTCCAGTTAGGGGGCAGTCGCCACCCAGCCTTGCCCAGCTCTTCCTTGAGACTAGGCGCTCACTAGTTTGAAAATTAGGGACCCAGTGGCCCATGTTTAGCTGAATCCCAGGGGAGAAGGGAGTAGGAGGAAGTGGGTGGAAAGGGGGCCTCCCGGCAGGACCCTCGCGGTGCCGGCTCCTGACAACAGGTAATTGTGCACGCCAGTCCTCTGGCTTCCTGCCCACCCCCACCTCCCCAAGGAGACGCGTCCTCACTGTTGCTGGATGCTCCCCAGTTCCACTCTCCACCCCAAGGGCTTCCAGAGAACTGCTGGCGGAGTGCGTTGGCGGATATGAATAGCAAGGACACTTCAGAGAAACAAATAGGTTTCGGTCACAGACCCAGTCCTTTCTAGGGGTCCGTGTCCTCAGGAATCCCTCCAAAGGAGTTCTTGGGTAAGGTGAAGGGGGGGGGAATCACTCCACCTTCTGGGAATTGGCGTTTACACACCCTCAAATAAAATCCTTGTTCCTACCTGGCAAAAAGAGCTGGCAAAGGAGATTTAGGAATGTTGGCAAGGTGACTCTGGTCAAAGGTTTTGGCTGAAGAAATAGAAGAGGGTAAGGAGACAGCGCGCACACAGGCTGGACGCAGGGATTTCACAAGTGTGGACTGGGGCTGGGCGCAGTGACTCCCCTCAGGGTGCAGACGGGCACAGTGCCTGCGTCCAGGTACAACCTGCGGATTCTGCCCTTACTGGTCCCTCCAGGTCCTTGCCACTTTCTCGCTTCAATCCTTTCTCTCCCTACCCACGTCCTTGGAGGCGCTAATCTTGAGACAGAGCCACCTCCACTCAGCAAGCCAACCCTGTCTCCTCAGACACTCCCAGGGAGGCACAAGGTGGGAGGTGACAGGACATGGAATCAAATGCCCTAGCATTGGGGGATCTTGATCAGGCTTGAGGGCTGCTCTGCGCCTCTAGCCAGGCGGCGGGGGGCGGGGAAAGGCGGGAAGCCGCGCCCAGCGCAGATCCCAGCGGGGCGAGCGCTCAGGCGGAGGAAAAGGGCTGGAGTGAGACTCTTGTGCGCCGCCGCCGGCCAGCCCGCCTGCTGGTCTGGACGCAGCGCCACTAGTCTTAGTCCCCAGCTGCGCACCGGCAATGGCTTCATCAGATTTGGGGTCACCCTGAGCGACCTCAATCCAGGGCTCCGGGGTGGGGGTGGGGGGAGAGGCAGCTCTTAGGATCTGGCATATTGATAGAAAAAGAGTACCATACCGGGAGGGTGTAGCATCAGGGGCGTCCTAGGGGCTTTGGCTGCAGCACAGCTCCAGGGAGCCTGTGCTGACCCGTCTGGGCCTCGGCGGGGTGAGCAAGGGGACACAAGCAGGAGACTTGGGCTGTGTTGTTTTTAGAAAACTGCCTCCCCTTTCCCTGCTGAGTGTGCAATTCCCAGCCTGGACTCCAAAGGGCAACAATAAAGAGAGTGGTTCCTGCACTCTGGGAGGGACTGTCCCCGGGACCGATCTTTGGCTCTGGCCTGCAGTCACTTCCACGCGCCTCCCGCGGGAAAGCGCTACTCCTGCGCTGTCTGCCTCCTTTCTTGCTCGCCAGCTGAGCACTTTTGCCAGCCTTTCTCCAGCCACCTAATACAGGGCATGCAATACGTACTCTGGAGGAAATATCATGTTTAAGTTTGGGCACTGATTATCCCTGGCCTTCACTGATTTGAGGGTTTTCCAGACTCCCAAGTTTCCGCATACAGTAGGGGATACTAGAACCCTACCGCACTGATTGATAATTGCTGGCTAGTGTGTTAGTACATAGCAAATTGTCCTTGCTAACAACCTCTTTCATCTGCTGTTGTATCCACTAAGTGCTGAGCAGGGTCAGTTTTAGAGTTCTGAAATTCCCCAGCAACAGAGACAGACCAACCTTTATATAAGAATAGGTGATAGACAGTGGAAGAATTTGGCATTGTTCCTAGGTTGATTTTATTTTGGTCTCATGAACACATCAGTCTTTCCCGACATCACAAATCCCCAGACTAGAGAGGACCCACTTCCACTGAAGGGAGGATTCATTGACCCGCTCCCCCACAACGTCTTGCAGAGGCCCTGGGTCAGCAATATTCAGCCTCATTGATGTGCCATCAGGGACTGCTCCAGGAATAAGATGCAGGCTTGGATCTCCAGAGCCAGGCTGGATCCTTGGCCCATCATTAAGGATGGACTGGGTGGTAAGTGCTTCTTTCCTCTCATCAGACCTTTTCAATTTTCAATTTGTCAGAAATAAGATGAGCTCTGTTGGTCCTCAGGAGGCCATTTGAGGCACTAACTTCCACACTGTATTAACGGTTGGTGATATATGGAGATTCAGGCTGATGTCTCAAAATTGTATCAGATCTGCCTTAGTCAAGGTTTGAAGAACATCAAACCCAAACATTCAAACTTCACATGCCTCCAAACCCAGACTCCACAGATGACCCAAAATAGTTCAGAAGGATCTTATCTACGTTTGAAATATAAGAATGGAAAAAGTAAAACTGGAAAAAGGGTAAAAATTGGACGTGAAATTAACATACTATTTCTAATTTTTCTATTAATATGGTACTTTTGTGTCAAATGACTCTATCCTAAAGAGATGGCTTTTGGCCCTCATGTATATTGTTGTTGTTAGGTGCCGTCAAGGTGACTATGATTCATAATGACCCTATGAACAACATATCTGAATCTTAACTTACCCTTGTTGTTATGTGCCATCAAATAGCCTGCAATTCATAGCGACAATCATTCTGAAGCCTGTTCTATCCTGATCCAATCTCATTGACTCTAACACACCTACTCCAATTGCCCTAGTCACTGTATCAATCCATCTCATCCAGGGTCTTCCTCTCCGGCACTGTCCCTCTACACTTCTAAGCATGACGTCTTTCTCCAAAGGTCGCCCCAAAGTATGTAAAATGGAGCTTCAAAATCCTAGCCTCCACGAAGAAACTTGGTTTCACTTTCTCCAAGGCAGACTTATTTGTTTTCTTGGCAGTCCATAGTATGTTCAGACTCTTCTCCAGCACCACAACTCTAAGGCATCAATTCTTCTTCTATCATCCTTAGTCATTATTCAGCTCTCTGATGCAGAAGAAGTAATTGTGAAGTCCATGGACTGGCTCAGGCACAGCTTAGTTTCTAGACTGACATTGTTGCTTCTCAGTACTCTGGAGAGGTCCCTTACAGCGGATTTTCCTAATGCAATTCATCTTTTGATTTCCTGACTGCTGATGCTAAGACTGTTGATTGTGGAGCCAAGCCAGCTGTAACTGTTAACAAATTCAATCTCTTCTCCATCCATTATGGTGCAGCCAATTAGCGGAGTCTTTGTCTTCTTGATGCTGAGCTTCAATCACATTGAAGACTACAGTTCTTGACCTTCTGCAGCAAGAGCCTCATTCAGATCCTCAGTTTCAGCAAGCAAGGTTGTGTCATCTGCATATCTAGGTTGTTGATGAGTCTTCCTCCAATCCTGATGCCACATTCCTCCTCAAAGTCTCCAAAATGATCTGCTTTGCATATAGATTGAAAAGGTATGGAGATAGGGTGCATCCCTGATGCACTCCCTTCCTGATTTTGAACCATGCAGTTGTTTCCCTGCTTTGTTCTTAGGACTGCTTCCTGGTCCAAGTAAATGTTTCACAATCAAGTGTT